GAGAGAGAGAGAGAGAGAGAGAGAGAGAGAGAGAGAGAGAGAGAGAGAGAGAGAGAGAGAGAGAGAGGATGAACCCATTTATTTTTCTTATTTCTGTTTTTTTTTTCATTTTTTTTTCCCGATTTTTTCGTCCACTTCACATTGACGTTCGGGATGACTGCTCCCGGTAGTCCCAGCCTCGGCACGGATCAGCGTACCCGTCGGCCGAGGCTCGGACCCTATAGCTGGGCCAGGTACTGGTGGTTTAATCTGCGGTAATCCTGGTAGGGTCTTGCTGGATCTTTTTCCCCCTCTAAGTACCTAAGTGCCCACGTGTATTGCGAGCCACCCGCCATACTGGCCCGAGGGAGGATAGGGTTGATCCCGAGGGTGGAACATGATTACCTCAGGATTGATCTCTCTCTGTCTTGGTTGGTGTCTTGGATAACTCCGTGAAGCACGATCTTCGAAAAAGCCGCGAGAAAGAAGCTGTGCAGGACTAGGGGCATGGGAGGTGGTCTGGAATAAGGTGTGGCCCAGCTACGGTCGGTTTGATGGCAGGGTGAGGACAAACCCTAATTCACTGCGGGGTATGGTTTTCCCGAGCGCAAACGGTCACCGCGGGGATTAGCGCTGGATTAGTGCTACCGGCCCTTCTTCCGCCGGCGGCCGTTTTTTTCCCCAAACGCAGAAGGATGGGGAGACGCTTCTCGTTCTTTCCTTCCCGAATGTCTTACGCCGCTTACTGCTTTCCACGTCTGACGCCGCTTACTGCTTTCCACGCTCCCGCCTCTTGTCCCCTTCGCCCTCTTCGCTTCTCTCCTCCCAGCTGTTTCTGGTGGTCGGCCTACCCCGTGCGTGATCTCTTCGCGTAATTACTAGACTGTGCGCGGGCAGGTTGAGTGAAGGCGCGCTAGTTCAGTTCGTCTTTCGGCCAGCTCAGCCGCGGTCGTCTGCCCACCCAGCTGGTTCGCCGCCAGCTCAGCTAACCGGGTTTCGGCAGCTCAGCTGCGCTTTTCCGCCAGTCCGGCGGCAGATCTTTCCCGCCGACCCACAAGCTTTGCTTACCCGCAAGCCCAGCAGCTGCGCATTCCCACCACTCGAGTTGCGTTTTCCCGCCAGCTCAGTTGCGCTTTCCAGCACGTCTCAGTTCGACAAATAGTGGTATTAGCGCAGTGTTTCGCCGACACAGCTGACCTTGCTGCCGGCCGGGTTCCGCTTTTAACTCAGGCGAATTCGGTGCTGACGCGTGTCCGCTCGCTGTCCTCGGAAGTCAGGCGGCACAGTCGTAGCCGGGGAAAGGCAGAGGGAGAGGAGCCAGGGAGACTGGGGAAGGAAGGGGGGGAACCCAGGCCGGGGAAAGGGAGGGGTAGAACAACCAGGGAGAGCGTGCGCACTGCGCAAGTGCACGCGGATCGTCGTGAGGCAATGCCATTCTCACTGTCAGATCCCGACAGATGAACTGATAGGTGGATGAATGCTTGGGGCCCTCGCACGGTGGAGTCCGCGGAGCCCTGCGTAGCACAAGAAGGGACTTGCCAAGTGTCCCGAATCTGTGGAGCGGTCATGCCTTGTGAGTTTCTTTTTTGCGCGCCTAAACCTCCCTATCTATCTATCCATACGTGGGCATATATATCTATATGTATGTCGCCATACGTATACGCATATCATCATATATTTATGTATATATCGTCATACATACATACGCGTAATCTTGATACAGCGTCTCAACGTCTCCTTTCCTTCTTTCGTCCTCGTTGCGGTCGTTATCCTTCGCCTCCAGCTATGCCCATCTCAGTTCATCCTCTTGTCGTCGTCTTCCCCTCTGCCTTCCTCGTCCGTCTTCCTCCTCCGTCTTCTTCTGCCTCTCACTCTTCAGTCACATCTTCTCCTTGGTCTCCTATGTGCCTCTGGTCTTTTTTTTGTTTTTCTTTCTTTCCCCCCACGGACTCCATTAGTCGCTGGGTCACCAGAAATTGGTTTCACCGGAAATCGCTGATTCACCAGAAATTGCCGCCGCATGTGCTAAAAGCGATGTGCCGGAAGAGCCGGAAGAGAAGAGGCCGACGGTTGGGCGGCGTGCCTTTCCTTGTTTGAAAAGAAAAACTTCTGGTTTCCCCTCCTGTAGATAATGTCTAATCAGTGTATTATTTCTAAATCGACGGACTTGAGTTAGTCCGTAGCACACTCGTACCATTGCAGCAGTTTATATGCGGAAGTATGTGACAGTTTGAGATAGCAAAGAAACCTCCAAGGCGATGGAGCACCACGACCAAACAGCAGCGCTTAACAGTTCATGTGATTTTGGAAACGGTTCTGGCTTTTTTTTTCCTTTGAATTCATAATATAGCAACTGTTTTCAAATCAGTACTACTTCAACACGGAGGGGAAAGCCACGGACAAGATATGCCCCCTCTCTCCCCCTCCTTACCCCCCCTTCCCGGCCGCCAGTAAGGGGAGAATAATAGAGAGGGAGGGAACAGGGATGGCGATAGAGCTGGAAGGGGGGCACACACAGACACACACACACACACACACACACACACAGAGAGAGAGAGAGAGAGAGAGAGAGAGAGAGAGAGAGAGAGACCGACCCAGTTTTATAGAAACGAGGATGGCACGGATATCTGGCTAAGGAGGAGGAGGTGGTGGATGAGGTGGATGCGAAAGTGGTGGACTGTAAAGAGGTGGTGGAGGAGAGGGAGGTGGAGGAGGAGGAGGAGGTGGGCAGGAGTAGAAGTAGGAGATGGACAAGGAGGAGGGTGGAGGCGGCGACAGGGAGGAAGAGGAGGAGGTGGTGGAGGAGGTGGGAGCGCAGGAGGAGACGAACGAGGGAGGGAAAAGAGGGGGGATACTAAGGACGCAAAGAGTGAGTGACAAAGGGGGATGAAAGCAAATGAATGAGGGAAACAAAAGAAACTAATTGAAGCAACACAAGAAAAGGAAGAGGAGAAAAGTGTGCAACATACGAAGACGAGATAAAAAAAGGGGACGCACTTGGAAAAGAAAAGAAGGAAAAAAAACGAGCAACTTAGAGAAACGGACGTAGAGAAATTACACAAGGAAAGAGCGGCTTAAAGATTTTTTTGGGGGGGGGTCCTCTGGCGGCGTTGCACTTTTTGCTTGTTCTCCGTGATCTTCCTGGTCAAAAGATCCTGTTCCTCCCGCTCCTCCCTCATCCTTCCGATTGTGGATAAGGTCAGTATATTCCGAAGTGGCGGAACACGCAACGAATTCTGTGTCTCATGTCCACCCACGGGATGTGGCCATAGATGCACGTAGGGTCACAAAACTCTCATCTGTTGTCGCCTAATCATGAGGTTCATAAACCACCTACACATTTGACAGAGTGACCCGTGTCATCCGCAAAATGTAGCAATTTCATACTTGAAATCGGAGGAAATCTGGTATTTCAAGGTGGCACGAAGGGAGTTATCGTTAATAATTTGTAATATAATGCAGTATTTTGTTCTCTATCCCCCCTCTCCGTGTAGTCGTCCTGGTTTCCGTCATATCCGTCATGACTCTCTTTCTTCTTATTGTCTTGTGCCTCGTCTTGTCTTCCTTGTCTTCCTCCTTATCTTCCTTGCCTTCCTCCTCGTCTCCCTTTTCTTCCTTCTTGTCGTTGTAGTATTCCATGTCGTCTTCTCGAGCGGAAATACGCTTGTATGTTGCTTTTTCTAATACAAGTGATGTGTGTGTGCAGAGCAATTGGCCATCGCTTGTTTTTCCTCTTCTCCTCCTCGTCTTCCTGGCTTATCTTCGTATTCCTCTTCCCCTTCCTCCTCGTCTTCGTCCATCATATCCGAATCGCCGTCCACGTCCTCATTGTCATCGTTGTCATCGTTCCCTCTCATGTCATCATTATCATATAACCGTCGTCCTCTTCAGCTCGAGAACACAACCCTCTGAGCTCTCGGCACCATCACCATCGTGTCCTCGATCATCAGTTATTCTCGTTCTCATCATCCTCGTCGTTGTCCTCGTCATTATCGTAGTTCGCGTCCTTTCTTTTAAACAGTTATTGCACATCATCCGCGTCAGCGCCTGGACAGCTTACAGCAGAACTCTCCGTTGCCCGCCCTCTCTTTCAGTGGCATAGTCGGCCTAATCAAACACGACAGTATCCTAGTTCACATGCTCTTCTGTCCGACCGTCGCTTTCCCAATCAAATTAGTGCTGCCAATACCATCCTCCTCCTCCTTCCCTAATTAAACTAGTTCCTATTTATCGTCCCCCTCTTCATCTCCTCGTCATCCTCATCCTAGTCATCATCATCTTCGTCCTGATCATCATCAATGCTCCAATCATTCTCGTCTCGTCCTTGTCCTTGAGTAACAGTTTGTTTTCTCCCCCGCCATCGTGCCTGTCTTCGTCTGTTCACGCCGTTTACCTCATCGGCACTATAAGTGCACCCTGCGTCTCGCTGTCCAACTTGGCGAATTTCAATCACTCCCTCCCTCATCTCCTACGACTGGCCTTTTCTCATTGGCGGCGAGTAGCCTTCTTTCATAGGCGGCGAGTAGCCTTCTTTCATAGGCGGCGAGTAGCCTTCTTTCATAGGCGGCCTGCGCTTTTTCCCTCCCCGCCTTTCTCCCACACAAATGCCCGTGCTGTGTATGGCGCGCTATTGACCTATTGTAGTGTGCTCGATGCTTTTCTTCTCTACTCTCTTTGGGGGGAAAAAAACAGCGCCCAGTGAGTGCTGTTTATCGTGTCGTATAGAGTTCTCTCTCTCTCCTGCTTCCTCTGTCTACCTGTTTGCCTTGCGTATGTGCTGTCAATCTGGCTGTCTGGCGGTCTTGCTCTTTCTGTCTACCTTTTTGCCTGTGCGTATTTGCTGTCATTCTGGCAGTCTGGCAGTCCTGCTCTCTGTCTACCTGTTTGCCTGTGCCTATGTGCTGTCAGTCTGTCAGTTTGGAAGTCTTGCTCTCGCTGTCTACCTGTTTGCCTGTGCGTATGTGCTGGCAGTCTGGCTTTCTCTGTCTACCTGTTTGCCGGTGCGTATGTGCTGTCAGGCTTGCTCTCTCTGTCTACCCGTTTGCCTGTGCATATGTGCTGTCAGTCTGTCCGTCTGCGCTGTCAGTCTGCCTGCCGGTTTGTCTCTTCCTCCTTGCGAGGAGTCCTACTCAGCCAGATGATAATTCTGACCTTCTCATGCACCAAGGAGAAATATACCCCCCCCCACCCACCGACACACACACACACCGCCAAAAGAGGAGAAAGAAGCTACCCCGATTTCCTCGCTTTCCTCGCTAGCCACCGCTTACACTTCGCTTTCCTGCTTCTGTTCCCAGATAACCTTCCTGCTCCCTACTTCGGCCGCAAGGAAGGGAAATGATTGACACTTCGTTTTCCGGATTTCTCTACGCCGCAACAATGGATATTTTTCAAAAAACCGCCGCAAGCAATGGAAATTGACATCTTTTTGTCTTTCTTTTAAAATCTAAAACCCGCCACCATTTCTCGTCCTTCTTTTCTTTTGGCTTCTGTTTCGGCCCGACCTCATCCCCCCCCCCCCTCACCTTCCTCTCTCGTCTCTCCTCTCTCCTCTCTCCCACCGTCACAGATGTCTCGTTGCCTCCTCTATTCCTAGTCGTCCTGGCCCGTTTACTCTTCCTTTTTTCTCCCACGTTGATTCGACAGGTAGAGGGGGTATGTAGGTAGCTGGGATAGGGATATGGAATAAGTAGACAGGCAGACAGGCTATGAAGAATGAAACAGGGATGGATTTCCTTACCACCGACAACCGTCCTTCCTCCTGGCATTACTAGTCGTCCTGGTCAGTCTAGCCTCCCTTTTTTTCCCCACGTGGATTCGACAGGTAGAGGCGGCAGGTAGACAGGCAGACAGGCATATATGCAGAATGACACAACGATGGGTTTCCTTTGTTACCGACAGAGCTGCGGGCTAGCCAGCCTGATCAACGATGTTCGCGAGGATGATAACTGAAGTGATATGAATAGCGCCAATAGATTGATGGATGGACAGCAGGTGGCCAAGTAAGGAGATGCCCCCCCCCCCCCCCCCCCCCCCCACACACAGAGAGAGAGAGAGAGAGAGAGAGAGCCTTGGATGCTATGGTTTAATGCTGAATTTGAGTGGCTGACTTTCCATAGAGTGTTTTCATGTTTGACTGACGAGGAAGAGGTTGCTGCTTCATTTTTTAGCTTCTTCACACTGTCTCAGCTTGCCTTCGCGTGATGCTTGTTACCGTGTCGCCTTCCATTCTCTATTCTTTCTTGTGTCTTCTTGCCATCTCCTCACTCTCTGCCTGTCCTCTTGTTCTCTCTTTCTTTAGCTCTCCTGATGACTTATTTATTCCACTTGGGCTTGGATTAGATAACGGTTTTTTTTATGGACGTCACGGTCACTCAGAGGGTGTGCTCTTGAAAAATTTCTTCTTTCGCTCGTTCCACATCCTCAATGACCAAGGGCGATGTGCAAACTATGTCCATTCTAGGTTTTTCGAAAATCCGACGGGAGTTATCGAGAGTCATTTGTTTTGAACATCTGATTGTGACCGTCAGATTTTTCTACAAAAAAGAAATACCTGGTGATAGTCTGGTGGGGCGCCAAGAACGCTCTTCACTCAGGCCTTTCTCTGTTCTCCCCCTCCTCTCCCCGCGCTGTCACCGCCCTCGCGACCTTTCTCTCCTCTCCTTCCATCCCCTTCCTCCCCTCCCTTTCTCTCCCCTCCTTCCATTCCCTTCCTCCCCTCCCTTCCCTCCCTCCCGTCCCTCCCCTTCCCTCCCTCCCCTCCCTCCCCTCCCTCCCCTCCCTCCCCTCCCTCCCTCCCCTCCCCTCCCTCCGATCCGTCTTTCCCCCCTCTCCCCCCTCTCTCCGCTCTTTCCCCTCTCTCCCCGAAGCCCCCCTTTACGCACCTTGCGGTGATAATGACTTGATTCCCTGAAATCCTGGAAGTGCAGGTCAGGCTTGGGAATGTCGCATCAACTCTTGTTGGCGTTCTAATGAAAGAATGGTATATAATATGTATTTATATGTAAGGGTTTATATGATACTAATGTCCAAACGTGACAGGGATAGTATGGATAATGCCAGGCTCCTGATGACTCAGTGGATTGAGTCCGGTGAAACAGTTCACACCAGCCCCCTCTCTTTTCTTGGTTCTGTTCGTGCTTCTCTTTGATGGGTGGGTGTTGTGAAAAGGCTTCTGTCAGGTGCATTTATGTGAAGTATATACTACCATCTGGCATGTACAAATAAACACCAGGAAAACAACAATTGTGTTTGTGGTCTTTTTAAGCATGGGGAAAAATATTCCAGTATGGAATGAAGGGTTACGTGATCCCTTTTGCAGTGGTGACTTCACCCTTGGATCGGCTCTGCTCTACTGTTGTGGAACTGCGGTGGCTGAGACGAGTGTAGGATTGCTGGCAAATGTGCGTGCCCACGCACACCCACCCACCCACCCGCCCGCCCACACACACACGCACACACACACACACACACACACACACACACACACACAGAGAAGAGTTCAATGTATAGTGTAATTAAATTCACCGGGGGAGTTTTAAGGATGGAGTGAATGGGTGGGCATATTTGAATGAATCAATTGCACTGCACAACTAAGGAATGTGTGGATTGAATGCATATGGGAAGAGAGGATGGAAAAGCAACTGGGAGAAATGAAAGATAGGGAGGGAAAATGGAAGCGACTGAGAGAACAGGCTTGAGCCAAATTGGCCTTGGAAATGAAAGTACTGGTACTGAGTGAAAGGATGGAATCGACTGATGAGAAGAGTGGCCGACCAGGCGTAGGAGTGGAAGAAGGGACTAAAGAGACTGTTAAGAATGAATGCTGGTAGCATTTGAGCGCTGGATGAAGGGGCCACAGACAAATGA